GCTGGAGGAAGGGATTGGCTTCCTTGGGGCCTCACAGGTCATGGTCAAAATGGCATAGTTCTCTCTGTGGACTTGACCTCAGTGTGGTTATTTAATCCTGTTCCACGGCCCAAGGCTGCATCAGCCCCAACTAGACCTCATGAAGTTGTCTACGGGAAACATGCCAGTTGGCGAATTTGCCTGGAGTGGGCTTGTGGAGCCCAAGGGCACATAGAACCCACTGCAGGAGGTGAGGCATGTCCCCAACCCATGGGACAGCCATACCGAGGACTGTCCATATGTCTCACCTTGGGTTTGGAGCGGAGTCCCTACTCCATATGTATCTGTCGGGAAGAGACAGTGGTGTCTTTAGTATAAATGTAGGAGGAGAATCCCAGAACCATTCACCTTGCTGAATCCTACATACTGAAAGCTCAGAGGTGACATCACCAATTTGTTTCATGATCACATAACCATGGTGACAGATTAAGTCAAGGGAAAAATAGGGTGGGAGAGTGGTTGAAGCAATTTAAGGAATTTATTGGCACAAAGGATTCCATTATCAAGGTTGCAAATAAGTCATGAACTTCAGGCGTGGACGTGTGCCGTGCCACTTTCTGCTTGCTTGGACAAGCATGCCGCCTTCTCAAGAGTATGACTTGAATCCAAAATAGCCAGAGAAAAATTTAAAAGTAATGACAGAAGTGCTCATATAACTCATTTCTCAATCAATAGGGGACTATCGTTTTGATGGAGCGGGAGGTGTGGGGGTGGAAGCCTGTTGGGCTGGTGGCCGGGCTGGCAGGTCAGCACTCCCGGGTCAGAGCAGCACTGCCCGTCTGACGGGGTGGGGTCAGTGATCCCAGGTCCCACTAACGGCCTGTGTGTCCCAGTGCCTCGCTTCTGGGGGACACAGATGCTGCTGCCTACTTTGTAATGACAACGAAGTCTCGTCTCGGCTCCCAAGAGACAAGGCAGTTTATAGTTAGATAAACCCAGGTTTGAATCCTGTTCTAGCTACGTGACTGGGTGTGCGGCTCAAACCCTCCAGGCCTGTTTACTCATACGTGCACTAGGCGTTATAAGAAGACCTTGTCGTAGGGTTGTTTGGAGGATTAAGTGAGATAATGTCTACAAAGCACTGGGCATAGTGCCTGGCATGCATTAAGGGCTCAAATAACAACAACAAAAACTGAAAGGATATTAGAGTTTTTAATAAACCATCAGACACAAAAAGACATTTGCAAAGGCTCAGTGCCATCCCTGTGTGCCTCCAGATTGTCATGCTGGGTGAGGACGACGTCTGCTCTGAGTTATGAGTCGTGGAGGGGACTAAGTGACCTGAGGAGTCAGCTTCACTATTCTGGACTTAAATGCTTGAGCTGCGTTTTCAAGCACAGCCCACAGCTCAGATGTGTCGGCGTTGGTGTCCGATGTTTACCCCCTGGGCTCCTAGGAGGGTGGAGAGAGAAGCCATCGGATGGCCCCTGATGCCAAGCTCTGACTATGAGGGCAGACTGCCCTGTGTCACTGGAGCCGGGGGGAGGTCCTGGCGGGAGGGACGTCTGGATGTGATCCCGGCTCTTTCACTGCAAGTGTGAGGCACTGGGCAAAGTCAGCCAGTTCCATAAACCTTAGTTTATCCCTGGAAAGGGAAAAATACCTGATCTGCAGAGTGGTTGTAAGGATAAAATGACACAATGCGATGATGTACATAAAAACACCTGCCCTGTGGTAGGGCTTCATAAACACGACGGCTGTAACTGTCTAAGTAAACAAAGTACAGTCATGAGCAAGGGCGAAACACATTAGTGGTAACTGGTGTTGTTTTGTGACAAAATGATCCTGTGAGACCAACTCAGTTTCCTTCTTGGAAAGAATGCGACACGGTCGGCAGAAGGTTGGACTGGAGGCTTGGCAAATGAGTGCAGTTCATTCTAGGAGAAAGTTGATGATTTGGATCAAATCCCAGCCCCCGTGACATGCTCATCCCTGGGAAGATCTGGAGGGGTCTTGGGGGGCGGGTAGGGGCGCTGTGCATGAGGAGTGGGTTTCCTTCCCCTGGGGGAGGACAGGGGAGGAGTCACCCCGTGGGTCAGGTCCTTATGTGTTTGGGATGGCGATAGGGTGCTGAGGAGGCTGAGCTCCAAGGGAGGTCTGGGGAGTGGCCACAATGCAGGCTGATCTCCGCAGCAGGAGGCTGTGTGCTGGGGACACATGCCTGGGGCCAGCTACAGAACCTGGGGCCACAGAGCAGAAGAACCTCTGTGTGTGTGCATGGTTGGATCAAGTGGAGGCAGAAGGACCAGGCCCGGGACAAAGGGTCTCAGAGTGGCCGGTGCCCCTTCTGTCCTGATGCCAGTTGCTTGCGCATCCGAATACTTCTCTGGGAGAGGAACCAAGGAGGTGACGGCTGCAGCGGCTGAATGACACGGAGGGATGTCTTCCCTCCCGACAGCCTCCATCCGGCAGGGAACTCAAGTCAGGTTGCAGACAACAAACATGAATGAACTTTGAAGACACGGGGGTGTGAGTCTGTGTCACTGCAGCTGTGCCCCCCAGCCGCTCATGGAAAATAAACCCTTCTGAATGTCAAGAGGTAATGGTGTCTGTCGCCATCTTGAAAAGCCACCGGGTTGGAGGGGCGGGGCCGGAGCTGGGAACTGGGCGCCGCTCAAGAAGGTGAGTGTTTGATGCTGTTTGGTCCTTTCTCCCCCACAAGACAGTGCATCCGAGGGAGAAATTCCCAAGCACGTTCCCATGGGAAACGAAAGCGTATAGTGGCACCTGGTGCTTGTTGCTCTACTGGGACCAATTCTATCCTCCTGGAGGACGTCGGTCAACGTCCGAGCACATTCTTGCTGTCACTTTTCTTTTGCGGGGGAGGGGGGGCGGGGGCGGGGACATGCTACAGGCATCTAGTGAGCAGAGGTCAGGGATGTTGCTAAACACCACACAGTGCAGAGGAGACCCCACAGCAAAGAGGTCTCCAGCCCCAGAGATCAGCAGTGCGGAGGCTAACAGACCCTGGTGCGAGGCGGTGTGAAGGTCCTTAGTCAGTGGACGTGGCTCGTTCCTCACACCCATCACCTCGGTGAAGGCAGAACGGGGAAGGGTCATGGCCAGCCTGGAAGCCGTCGCTGCTGGCCGTGGATGGGAAAGGAGGTGGGGAGCAGGTGAAACATTTGGGGGTGGGGATGAACCCAGAAGGAGCCTCAGGCTCACCTCCCAAGGTAGATGAAGGAGAAGGGCAGAGTTTTTCATTTCAAGTCAACTCTTACTTATTTAAAAACCGATTTCCTTAAGCACATAATTATATGTTTATTTCCCGGAGGAACTCTTGAGGCAGCGGAGATCTGCTTAAATTATGGGGACGGAGGCTGCACACAGGGCTCTAATGGGGTTAGAAAAATGCTCTGTCTCCTTTGAAGGAGCCTTGGGAGGAAGGGAAGGGCAGGTTCCTCTCCTGCAGTGCAGAGATGTGGGGCGGATGGAGCTCGGGAGGGAGGGAGGGCACTGAGTTCGAGGACTGGTTGTCCCACCTGCTGGGGCAAGAGCAGAGCTGAGGGGAACTCTGGGTGCAGCTTCAAGCCTCTGGCCTCTGGTTTCCATCCTGGTAGGCAGAGGGAGGGCATCCAGACACACACACACACACACACACACACACGTGCGTGCTCCCCTTTGGGAGGGGCTGTGGGAGGCTTCCAGGGAGCAGTAGGTAGGGTGGGGGGACTTCAGTACCACTCTGCGCAGTACATCTCTGCGCTGCTTCCCACGTCTCTGTGGCAGCCTGTGTGCCTGGAATTGGGGGCTCCTTACACCCTCTGACCTGGCTGGGCTGGGTGGGGACTGAGGGAATAGGATGGCCAACTGAGTCCCTAGCTCTGCCACACCTCGGAAGAAAGGGGGGGCATCTTACTGCCCGTCTCCCCCTCCCAGAGACATATGGTGAGAATGGCTGATATGATACTGTGTGTGTTGGACGGGGGCCGAGTTGGATGGGCAACGGTGCAAAGGAGAAAGATGAATCAGGAGCAGGTGCCTTAGACCTGCCTCTGGCCTAGGCGACACAGGATGGGGGCCTCAGGGGGACCCTGGCCCCCTCCCTCCCTGTCTCCCCTGCATCTGGGACGCACGTCTCTCACAGTGCCATTGTCTGGGACTGGACCCGGTGTGCGCCATCTCCTCCAGGAGGCTGTGAGTCATCGCACTGGGCTGGGAAGCCTCCGCACCTAACAAAGCCCGGTACACACAGATGGGCACTCGGTCCGCAGTTCCTGATGCATTTCTACCTTGTCCAGCCCGCCTGCCATGGAACAGACCGAAGTTACAGCAAAGAGAGTCTGTCCAGCTGGTCTATTCCACCCATCCTGTCTCTCAAAGCCCAAAGCGTGGTGCTAGGGCTGCTAGGATGGGACCCAGCTGGGAGTGAAGGTAACAGCTGAACCATGGCCAAGAGTTGTGGCCCTCAATGTCTTCATTCACCCACCAAATATCCTCTCGGCACAAGCACCCCGGCTGGCTCAGTTCCAGCTCAGTGTGAGGTGTGGGGCAGCATAATGGGCCACTGTTCACTCGGGAGTGGAGCAGCCCACGGCTGGTGAGGGGCGCCCAGCCCTTGGGAGCTGGAGACGGTGGTTATCTGTGAGCACCAGGCCTTCTCGGTCTCGAGAGGGCTAACAGATGCCACACAAGGGGGCAGAGGGGTCTTGACTGGGTGGGGGGGTTGTATCCCCAGGGGCTCTCCTGGTCTGTTGGCATCAGAGACCTGGGGCTGCTGGGAATTTGTGCCCTTTTCACTGGCCAGTTTCCCTGGAGACACATCAAAGATCATCAGAGAACAGAGTCTCGGCATCTTTCAGAGGCAGAGGGCCTGCCCACCCTTCCAGTTTGCAGAAGTGTGGCCTTGGGCCTGAGGCTTAGCTACCTCACCCACAGGACAGGAAGGGCCCTGATGGCATCCCCAGGTCACAGGGCTCAAGGGAGGCTCGGAAAGCCGGGTGTTGTGCACTGTGGGCTGGTTCTCAGAAGTTATTTATTCAGGGAAGCAGAGGAGGGAGCCCCCCTGTCCCCCAGTGTGGCTGCCCCTGTCTCTTCAGTCAGGACCTGCCTGCAGGGAACAGCTGCGCAGTCTCCCCGTCTCCCCGGCCAGCAGGAGCGGCAGGGCTGAACGCTTCAAGGGCCTGTCCGCGTCTCCGGCCCCCTGAACACGGGGGTCAGGGCCTGGGGCGCAGACTGGAGCTGAGGCCCTTTATTTAGTCCGCTGGTAGAACTGGAAGACGGCTTTCTCCTGCTCGTAGGTCTCGATGGAGCCAGGTCGGAGGCGCCGGATTTCAGCGATGGCATCCCCCGCGGCCAGACCCCGCTCCTTCACCAGGTAACAGGCAAGCATGGTGCCAGTGCGGCCGAAGCCCAGGGCGCAGTGCACCCCCACGGCCTGGGAAGAGGGAGCTCGGTGGGGTGGAGCCCGACGCCCTCCCGGGGGGCCCCATCTCCTTCCCACACCTGCTTCTTCTGGGTCAGGCCCAGGACCTGGCAGGGGTCTACGACTCTCAGGGGCATCACAGTCAGGGAGTGCTGTCCTGCGCCTGGCGGCTTGGAGGCCGCCGTCACCTCCCATGTAGTTGGTTCAAGGGCTGGGCCCCTAGGCTGCCTGCCCCCAGCCCTGGGCCGGCTTCTTTTTGGTTTAGAAACGTGGCTCCCGTCTATCTGGACGGCGCGAGGCTCCGGAAAGCGCGCAGCGGCCTCTGCCTTCCAGCCTCTGCCCCTCAGCTCCCAGCGCTCGCTGCTTCCCTGCGGCCTCGCCCGCGGCCCGGGTCCCCAGGCGCCCGTCGCGACCCCGCGGGCCCCGCCCCCGCCCCGCCTGTCCCCGCCCCCCGCTGACCCGCAGGCCCCGCCCCGCCCCGCCCGCTGACCTCGCCGCGCGCGCTGGCCTCGTCCACGATGCGCACGAAGCGGTCGATCTGCTCGGGGGCCGGCGGGCAGAAGTCAGGGATGCGCAGCCGGTGCAGCGTGAGGCCGGGGCAGCTGTCGCCGTGCGGGGGCCCGCGCTCCGTCAGGGACACCAGGTGCCGCACGCCCTGGTCCAGCAGGAACTGGTAGTGCGCGGGGAGCCGCGGCAGCGCCAGCCCCGCTAGCCGGCCCGGGAGCACCCACGAGAAGTTCGGCGGCTGCGCGCCCATGGCTGCGGCAGGACACGCCGGCGCGCCGCCCCTTGGCGTCCCGCGCGCTTCGGCCCCGCGCCTCCTACCCGCGCCCGCGCCCTGGGACACGTGGGCTCGGCGCCCCGGGACACGTGGGCTCGGCGCCCCGTCGGGCGACGCCCCGCTCCGCCGCGGGGATTGGCTGAGCCGTCTCGGGGGCGGGGCCGGAGCGCGGACCCCGGAGCTCTGAGTGACAGGACGGGCTCCGCGACCCGGCCCCGGTCCGGAGCAGCGCACTCGTTGACTGGTTGGATCTCAGGACTGGGCGGGATTACCGCAGCGGTGCGCACGGGGATTGGTGGAGCTACCCAAATAGCGGGGAGGCAAACCCGTAGGGAAGGACGAATTGCCTAGTGCGGAGGCGGCGAGCGGGGTCGGGCTCTGCTGCTCCCTGGCGGCCGGTGGCGGTTATTGCACCAGCGTCCCTGGCCCTCGCTGTCCCCGGGCCTGGCCTCCTGGGGGTCTGACTTCCTTCATCGTGGACGCCCAAGGGTTTCCTCCTCTTGGGGAGGAACCGCCTCTACGGTGACTGACTGGTCCTTGTCAGTGACTTGGTGAACCTGTCCAGTAAGGGCGGTCGCCACTGTGCGGAGGACTATTCTCCTTGTCCTTGGCTGGGATTAGTCAGAAATACTGGCTGCCTCTGCTGCCCTGAAGTCCTCCCCGGGGTAGTAATCACAGTCCAGTGATGATAAAGACCCACGACACAGAATGAACGTTTAGTGAGCAGTCGCTATATGCCAGACACTATTCTTAGCACTTTACCTGTGTTGACTCATTTAACTGCCACAGTAATCTGATGAGGCAGGTAATCTAATCCCCCTGCTTTTTTTTTTTTTTAAGATTTTATTTATTTATTTGATACAGAGAGATCACAAGTAGGTAGAGAGGCAGGGAGAGAGAGAGGGGGAAGCAGGCTCCCCGCTGAGCAGAGAGCCAGACGCGAGGCTCCATCCCAGGACCCTGAGATCATGACCTGAGCTGAAGGCAGAGGCTTAACCCACTGAGCCACCCAGGCGCCCCTAATCCCCCTGCTTTACAGAGGGGAAACTGAGGCTCCAGAGAGGTTCGGGGACTTGAGCAAGGTGAGTCATGGTCTGGGGACTTGAAACCAGACAGCCTGGCACCGGCATCTTTAACGCCCAGTATTGTTTCCTAAAGTTGAATGGAAGGGAAGGATGCTGCCTCTTCACAGGGCCGTCCTCGCACTCCCAAATATCATCTGTGTTAAAGTGCAGGACTTCTTAATTTCTCTTAACATTTCATGACTTCCAGGCTCTCACCCTGCTGCGGGGAGACCAGAGTTCCTCGGTGTTGTTAGTAGAATGTAGGGACCTAGCTCTGAACACTGTGTCTTGGCTGGGATCTGACCTCCCTGGGTCCTCATTTGAAATGTGTTTCTAGGGATGCAGACTAATTATAATTATGAAAATAGTTAACCCTTGTTCAATTTGCTTGTGTACCAGGCCCTGCGCCAAGGGCTTTCCGAAGAACCACACGTGGACGGTATTTTTGTGTCTTTTTGGTCCACACATAATCTGAGGCTTAGACAAGCTGGTTAACTTGGCCAAGGACAAGCGACTCGTTTATGGCTGGGCTGGCGAGCCAAGGCCTCTCTGAGTCCAAGCCCAGGGCACTTAGCTGTAAAGACACTCCTTTTCCCCTGTCTCCACCTGCCCCTGACACACATTTGACCACTTAAAGATCTGGTTCCAGTAAAACGGAAAGGAATTTTTCTTTCCTCAAGTTCAGAGGCTCCTCTGACCCTGTAAAAATCCACTTACCAGTTGCCTGGATGAGGCTGAAGCATTGCCTCCACCTACCCTTGCCAGGTGCCAGGAGCCAGGAGCTCTGTGATCCCCCCTTTCCTCCCCTTCCCTGCGATCTGAGCCTTGGCACTCCCACTTCCACCAACTCCTGACCAGTCTTCTTGCCCATCCATGTCCATTGCTCCCCCTCCTTGCCTGCTGTGGCTCCCAGGGTCGCTGGCTGTGCGGACTCTGGAGACAAGACTCTGGCATGTGCACCTTTCAAGTTGAACCTTTCTTGGTCCTTTTGTCTTATTCTTCTTTCTTTGCTGCCTTCACTCCCCACACCCTATGCCGCTTCCTTTTCTCCTTGAGATCTACCTCAAAGCCTGTCTTCTTCAGAGGGAAGACACTTCTGGGGAGGGGGGTGGAGATTCTTGAGCCCCTAACTGTGACTTTCCACTTGTGCAGTTTCCTGCAGGGGAAGAAGTGCAAACTTCCACCTGCCTGGACCTCCTTAGAGAAAGGTTAGTTGGGTCACACTGTAGGAACTTTCTCTGCCTTCGGCTCAGGTTGTGATCTCAGGGTCCTGGGATCAAGTCCCGCATCGGGCACCCTGCTCAGTGGGGAGCCTGCTTCTCCCTCTCCCTCTGCTACTTCCCCTGCTTGTGCACATGCTCTCTCTGTCAAATAAATACATAAAATCTTAAAAAAAAAAAAGGAATTTCCTTCTACTCTACAGCTGTGCCCCTTCCTTTCAACAGAGCCTGGGTGAAAAGGGCCCAGCGTCCTTGCCTTGGGCTGTTTACCATGGTCAAGCATGCTATTTAATTTTTTGTCTTGGGTCTGGGGAGTTTTGAACTGAAAAGAAAACCCCCTTGTGATGTATTTTGGCTCAGACCTCTGTGATTTAACCGTGCGGGCACTCTGCACTCAATACTGATCTCCCCCCAACTCAATACTGATCTTCCTTTCCTTTCTCCCCCAACTCAATACTGATCTTCCTTTCCTTTCTCCTCTGTAGAGTGTTACCAGACCCTCAGGAAGATTTAGCCTTTTTCTGTGCTCACTTCTCCCAGGAGTGGAAATATGTACTCCCAGGAAACTGTCATTTCATTGGATTAGGGTTACCTCTTTGTGTGGGAGCCAAGGCTGCATTGTTCCATCTTTGAATTCCACAAATCTAATGCACGGTGCTCAAAAATGTTAAAGGAGTGAATAAATGAAGAAAAAAAAGGAATGCAGAGGGGAGACTGCACATGCTCAATTCTGGGGGTGTATGTGAGTGTCCGGCACTACAAGACAATGTACGCTGGCTTGCTTCTTCCACGCACGAGCGTGTGGGCTGTGTTGGATGTCGTGTAGCACCTTCTCAAGGGGCGCGTTTTACCTGTATGTGCTTTTAAGGAAAGAATGACTGTGTCAGTATGATCCTGGCTGCGTCTGATGGCTATTTTTGTAAAAAAGGATCAATAAGCCTTGCTCTTTGTTGAGCTCCTCTTTGGTTGTATGGGTGTGAGTGATTGCGGGTGTATGTGAATACGTGTGTGTGTGTTGAGGGGGACACACACATTCCTGGAGAACGGTCTGTTGACACTGAGGCTGAGCCGAGTAATAAGCTGAATGTGACTTGAAGGAGTTTACAACGTACTGGAGAGGGTTTAGACTCCAGTGTAATTGCTCTCATAACATATAATAAAGCACTAAATTACTCATCAAAGACAATCAGATAATACGTATTAAAAAGTTAATTATGCAGTAAAATAACAAGTGCTAAAGAAGTCGGTGGGGGAAAGATAAGCTTGGGTTAGAACGACCAGAAAAGTCCTATGAAGACAGGAGTCTTCCCGTGTTCTGGTTGTTCTGTCCGTTGTGAAGCAAGAGAAGTAACTTTCCTTGACAAGCTCAACAGTACAGTTTTGGGAGAATCCTAGCCCCCCCTTTTCCAGTCCATAAAAATATTTTGACCTACTTCTGTTTCATGTTGAGGTCCCAGTTTCCAGACTGGCTTGATGCCAGTGGCAGTTAGAGGGGAAGTCAGAGTCAGAGAATTCCTTGCTCCAACCTGCTCTCTGTGTCCCATCAAGGCAAAGGATTGCTTGGGGCTGAGTTCCTGGGCCCTTGGACTGTAGTCAGAATTCTCAGTGTCTTAAGTATGCTGATCCTCCTTTGTGTAAACACATTTCACACCTGGAACCTGATGATTTGGAAATTGGATATGAAAGGGGGGTGGTGTGAGGTCAACCTCCAAGATGGCCCCAGTGAACCACCTCCTGCCTTGTCTGGTCTTTTCCCACACTGATAGAAGTGTAACTGGCAAGATACAGTGGAAGTGATGGCGTGTGACTTCTTAAGTTACGTCATAAAAGAGCTTGTGGTCTTTGCCTTGGAGAAGCCGGCTGCCATGTTGTGAGGACACTCAAGGAGTCTCTTGGAGACATCTATGTGGTAGGGATCTAAGCCTTCATACCAATGTCACGTGAGGGAGCTAGCTGTTTTGGAAGTGGATCCTCCAGCCCCATCAAGACCTTAGATGGCCAGAATCTGGACAGTAGCCTCATGGATTCCCTGACCCAGAACAACTCAGCTAAGCTGCTCTTGGATTCCTAACCCAAGAAACCATGAGATAATAATTATTCATTATTTGAAGCCATCAAATTTTGGGGTAATTTTTATGCCGTGACAGGTAACTAATATGAGGGGACTATTCAGATAGAAGAAAGGAGGAGAAATAATTTCTGATCAACTCAAGAAGTGGGAAAAGAACAGCTTTGTTTTTGCACGAGAAAGGTATACCATAAACAGCTGTGGTCCAAGTGTGCGTACGTTTTTTGGGGATGAGAGGCAGTGATAGGTCGGTGCAAAGTTCCTACATTTGGAGAGTCGTGCTGTGCAGAGAGTGGGGGCAGACAGCTTGACTGTGGGTTTTGTGTGTTTGTGTGTGTGTGGTGTTGCAGCTATGGGGGTTTGTGTGATATTCATATAATGAGGGATAATATACACACAGGAAGTAGGCAATACAACGGACCCTTCACCAATCAGTTCCATTGCTGTAAATGAAGAGTGGAGCCATCCTGCCATCCCTTGCATGCCCGTCAGTGTGGAGTGTGGAGGCTTTGACATGATCTGGGTGTGGCCAGATTTCCTTGGACATTTTAATCTAGGTCTTTCCACAAGATGGCACTGATAGCTTTTCCTTGTTTCTCTTTGTTGTTAGCTGAAAAATCTGATTTGTA